ATACAGAGCAATCGAGCGACAAGATTTGGTGAGTGCTTTTGATAAAGAAATATTTCAATGAGTATTTTATCTAAAACATCACGGGGAACAGATCAACATCTGATATCTGAGTGTGTTGTTCAGTTTAATATAGATCACTTTTTCCATGCTGTAACTGAAAATAATTAGCATGGAATTAGAAAGAGTAATGCGTAATTGTTAGCATGGTTTCTATATGTAGATACATATTGGGTGAAATTACCAAAACGTTAACACAAATTAATGTACAAAGGAAAGATTTTTACTACCTAGCTGATCTAGAGCATTCAATACAACAAGATGTGTAACATATGTTAACTTTAATGACACGAACAAACGTATTCTAAGAATCCAATGTCCATTAATATTAAATACCACAGTTTATGTATTCATAACACATCCAATGATGTCAATATCAATAACGCATTGTACTATAACCTGTGTTACCCTGGCATAAATCGTAAATCCCAACACATATGTAGTCTTTACTCAGAATCAACTGGAGCTTGATAAATCTACATTCATTTCACAAAAACCTTGGTGCGTTTTTGATAAAAGATAATTTCTCTGTTTTCATTAACTTAATAGACATACTCACTTTAGACACCAGTTAAGGACCATCCATATCTTAGACCGTGCTGAATTTTGATCGCTGTATTTAGAAAAATATTCAACAACAACTGGGTATAAGAATAATTTTTCTAAGGCATTTAACGAAACTTTACACAGTCGATAGGGAAAGATTCATTGAACCGAAAGTGCTATGCCATTTTAAATGAGGCATTCCCAAAATCTAGAAAAAAAACTTTAACTGTCTCGTAGTTAGAGATACATCATCAAATCATCAAAACTTGATCAATCATTTGATCAAGAAGATTAACTTATAAACGAGTTTTACTGGGTATGAAAATACCAAGATCAGATATAGCCACCACCCTTCTGGCACATTGTGTGTGTCCTTCGTCTCGTACCACTGACCCAAAGCCGAAGTGCCAATAGATGAGTAACAAAGACAAGGTTGAAGATTCTGATCACAGTAATTCTGCCCTTTTAAAGTCCATCAAGGACATGCAAGCTTACAGATTAGAGAAAAGCACCCCCACTTAAACCCAAACATATCCCGGGTAAGGGTGGGACCATGAACCTCGCATCTTTAAACCCAAACATATCCCGGGTAAGGGTGGGACCATGAACCTCGCATCTTTAAACCCAAACATATCCCGGGTAAGGGTGGGACCATGAACCTCGGATCTGAAAACCCAAACATATCCCGGGTAAGGGTGGGACCATGAACCTCGCATCTTTAAACCCAAACATATCCCGGGTAAGGGTGGGACCATTAGCCTCGGATCTGAAAACCCAAACATATCCCGGGTAAGGGTGGGACCATGAGCCTCGCATCTTTAAACCCAAACATATCCCGGGTAAGGGTGGGACCATGAGCCTCGGATCTGAAAACCCAAACATATCCCGGGTAAGGGTGGGACCATGAGCCTCGGATCTGAAAACCCAAACATATCCCGGGTAAGGGTGGGACCATGAGCCTCGGATCTGAAAACCCAAACATATCCCGGGTAAGGGTGGGACCATGAATCTTGGATATGAAAACCCAAACATATCCCGGGTAAGGGTGGGACCATGAGCCTCGGATCTGAAAACCCAAACATATCCCGGGTAAGGGTGGGACCATGAACCTCGCATCTTTAAACCCAAACATATCCCGGGTAAGGGTGGGACCATGAGCCTCGGATCTTTAAACCCAAACATATCCCGGGTAAGGGTGGGACCATTAGCCTCGGATCTGAAAACCCAAACATATCCCGGGTAAGGGTGGGACCATGAGCCTCGGATCTGAAAACCCAAACATATCCCGGGTAAGGGTGGGACCATGAATCTTGGATATGAAAACCCAAACATATCCCGGGTAAGGGTGGGACCATGAACCTCGCATCTTTAAACCCAAACATATCCCGGGTAAGGGTGGGACCATGAACCTCGCATCTTTAAACCCAAACATATCCCGGGTAAGGGTGGGACCATGAACCTCGGATCTGAAAACCCAAACATATCCCGGGTAAGGGTGGGACCATGAACCTCGCATCTTTAAACCCAAACATATCCCGGGTAAGGGTGGGACCATTAGCCTCGGATCTGAAAACCCAAACATATCCCGGGTAAGGGTGGGACCATGAGCCTCGGATCTGAAAACCCAAACATATCCCGGGTAAGGGTGGGACCATGAGTCTCGGATCTTTAAACCCAAACATATCCCGGGTAAGGGTGGGACCATGAGCCTCGGATCTGAAAACCCAAACATATCCCGGGTAAGGGTGGGACCATGAATCTTGGATATGAAAACCCAAACATATCCCGGGTAAGGGTGGGACCATGAGCCTCGGATCTGAAAACCCAAACATATCCCGGGTAAGGGTGGGACCATGAACCTCGCATCTTTAAACCCAAACATATCCCGGGTAAGGGTGGGACCATGAGCCTCGGATCTGAAAACCCAAACATATCCCGGGTAAGGGTGGGACCATGAGCCTCGGATCTTTAAACCCAAACATATCCCAGGTAAGGGTGGGACCATGAGCCTCGGATCTGAAAACCCAAACATATCCCGGGTAAGGGTGGGACCATGAATCTTGGATATGAAAACCCAAACATATCCCGGGTAAGGGTGGGACCATGAGCCTCGGATCTGAAAACCCAAACATATCCCGGGTAAGGGTGGGACCATGAACCTCGCATCTTTAAACCCAAACATATCCCGGGTAAGGGTGGGACCATGAGCCTCGGATCTGAAAACCCAAACATATCCCGGGTAAGGGTGGGACCATTAGCCTCGGATATGAAAACCCAAACATATTCCGGGTATGGTGGCCTTGGCCGGCTTCTCATTCGTCCGGTATCAAGATATACTGAGATCCATTTGTATGTAGGTAACTTTACATTGTTCAGATTTAATGTAAACATTGGAAACAGACACATCAGTTGATGTATCATGGCGTTTGTCTGTTCATAAATATGTAGATGTATGTTTATGTACAAGGTAGTAAAATTACCACCTCAGTCAAACACATAATATCGCGACTGTTGTCAAAACATTCAGCGAGAGAAAATTTATCATCCTTGCGCTCTGAAAGAAAAGTAAGAAATCGTGAAAAACGAATTGTTTACACTAGGCTCTCTGATTTATATACCACAGCGTCAATACAAGCTGGTTTGAAAAAAATATCTACACAATACAATTGGCGGTTCATACTTTTAAACAGTACGTACCCCTCCTTAGCGATACAAAGATGACGGAGTGCTGTCGGTTTAGGTATTGAGATATGTTCTGTATTGCCGTATCTAGAAGAACGTGTGATCGATTGATAAAGTTAACAGATGACATATGATTACTCTAAAAGCCACTCCATATACATCGAAATGTCTTCTCGCCATATTCCCCAAAGGTACGAAAATTAATTGTACATAAATGTGGGGATGCTGGTTACAGGGCGTGAGTATATATAATCCGCCGGGACATGTCGAGGTCGCCCAGAACAATTTACGTCCAACATCAGTACGTAAAATGTCATTAAAACCTACACAAATGTCACGGGCACACGAAAAAGAATTACAAAATGAGTAACTGTGTTTTTTAATATGTCCGTTTCATATGTACGAACAATGATGGTTTACGAAACACCTGGATTTGCCGACGTCATCAATAATAATCTTGATCACCAAACCACTTGTAATTGATCTCTGTGTTGGCGCAGTCTATGCAGACAAAAAGAGTCTGGTTGAACGAGACTCCGTATATTCTCATGTCGTAACAAAAGAGCGTGTAATTGAACTGACTGAGATAAAATCATACATCTCGCACAAGACGGAATTGAAAAAAAAAGAGTGTGAAGAGTTTAGAAAATTGAATACTCTCTGTTAACGTGGCCAGAACACTGACGATAACAGACCAAACGACCCTGAGAGTTACTTGGATTGAGAATGAAAAAGAAATTGTAGTCAGTTTTTATCAATTTCAAGCTTCTTTTTAATAAACCAAGCAATATGAAGTTATCCTTATGTAAGAATACACATGGTTACAGATAAAAACTTCCGTAGTGATTTGACACCTACATATTCTTATAACACTGTAAAAAAACCCGTGTTGTAGCTAGCGGATGGTGACGTCACTTGGATGTAATTAACGACGTCTAAGATGGCATTGCTATCACAAGTAGATAGGGCTTCACTTCGAAACTATGAAAGGCAAGTTTCCCGTCGCTTGTCATCGTTTCGACGCAGAAATTAAAATCAGAGCTTTTTCACCAATTAAGATCGAAAATTATTTTTACTAAACTTAAACATGATCGCGTCATAACTCATTTTTATTTAGTTACATGTGAATATAGTATTTGACTAGAACGGGGAAAATCATTGTTTTGAGGGTTAGAAGAATAAAACATTTTTTATGTGTTTCAAAATCACCAAAAATGCTTAGCGTACGATTTTTGTAGTGAGAACTGCCCATAAATTATGGCTATCCTCACTTCATTCGAAACGTGTAAACATATACGTCTGACATTTCCAACTTGTACCGAATTACCTATCCCAGCATTCCGAACTGACGTCTCGAAGATTCCGGTCACGGCTGCGGACGAAATGTTCATAAATTTCCGAACTGAAATCTTGGAGATTCCAGTCTTGGCTGTGAACGGTAATAGACTTCCGAACTGACATCTTGGCGACAGACAGGTACTTTCCGGTCAAGACTATGGACGAGGTGTCCTTGGACGTTTGATACATATATAGCTGTTTTCTTCGCTTTGTAATTAATTGTCTCCTAAGACTGTGAAGGTCAGTAATAATTGATTGTGCATGTACCTGCCGGTCCTGTAATCAATAACCTAAGGATTGCCTTGATAGAATACAGGTCAAATGAAAATTACTATACCGCTATTTATTTGATTTAAAGCTTGGTATTTTAAATCTACATGCGCAGCTCTCCACTGCCTCCTACCCTTCCTGCGTCCTACGTAACCCTCCATCCCCCAAACCCCATTCCTGCGCAGTCTTCCACCATCACCCATTCATACGTAGCCCTCCACCACCCCTACCCCTCCTTCCGCAGCCCTCCACCACCCCTACCCCTCCTTACGCAGCCGTCTACCACCACCATCTTCATGCGCAGTCCTCCATCGCCCCTACCCCTCCTTATGCAGCCGTCTACCTCCATCCTCTTCCTGTGCAGCCCTCAGTCGCCCCTACCCCTGCTTACGCAGTCCTTCACCACCGCCCTCTTCATGCACAGTCCTCCACCGTCTCCAGCATTCCTGCGTAGCAATCCTACCCCTTTCTGAGCAGCTCTCCATCACCTCTACTTACTGCGCAGTCCTCTGCCATCCCCACCCTTCCTGCATAGCCCTCCGCCGCCTCCCCCTCCCCCTTCCTGCGCAGCCCTCTGCCGCCCCAACCTACCTGCGCAGCCCTTTGCCATCCGCCTTACTGCGCAGCCTCCAAACGCCTTCCCCTTCCTGCACAGCCCTCTGCCGCCGCCCCCCCCCCTCCCCTTCCTGCGCAGCCCTCTGCCGCTGCCCCCTTAACCTTCCTGCGCAGCCCTCCGCTGCTCCGACCCTTCCTGCGCAGCCGTTTGCCGCCCCGCCTTACTGCGCAGCGTCCATCCAAACGCCACCTTCTCCTTCCTGCGCAGCCTTCTGCCGCCTCCCCTCTTCCCCTTCCTGCGCAGCCCTCTGCCGCCCCCACCCTTCCTACGCAGCCCTTCACAGCATCCCAACCTTCATGTGGATGGCACCACCATTATCTGCACAACCCTCTAACGTCCCCATCCCTTCCTGCGGAGCCCTCCACCGCCCCCTTTCTGGTTTGTTTTGTAGACCATTCATAACATTAGTTTTTTTCATATACCTTAATTAACTCAATAATTCACAGGTACCAGGTGTTCCGCGGTTATCTTGGTCCCTCGAACATAAAGAAATTTATGAACTCTGTAATAATTATAAATGAAGGCACGAGCTACACGTATTTCAACCTAAATCAGACGTCTCGACAAGTAGGATGCGATAACCTAAATCAGACGTCTAAATCAGACGTCTCGACAAGTAGGATGCGATAACCTAAATCAGACGTCTCGACAAGTAGGATGCGATAACCTAAATCAGACGTCTCGACAAGTAGGATGCGATAACCTAAATCAGACGTCTCGACAAGTAGGATGCGATAACCTAAATCAGACGTCTAGACAAGTAGGATGCGATAACCTAAATCAGACGTCTCGACAAGTAGGATGCGATAACCTAAATCAGACGTCTAGACAAGTAGGATGTGATAACCTAAATCAGACGTCTAGACAAGTAGGATGCGATAACCTAAATCAGACACAAGTAGGATGCGATAACCTAAATCAGACACAAGTAGGATGCGATAACCTAAATCAGACGTCAAGTCGACGTCTAACAAGTAGGATGCGATAACCTAAATCAGGACGTCTAGACAAGTCTTCTGACAAGTTGCGATAACCTAAATCAGACGTCTCGACAAGTAGGATGCGATAACCTAAATCAGACGTCTCGACAAGTAGGATGCGACAAGTTTCAGGATGCGATAACCTAAATCAGAACATTTTCTAAATCAGACGTCTCGACAAGTAGGATGCGATAACCTAAATCAGACGTCTCGACAAGTAGGATGCGATAACCTAAATCAGACGTCTCGACAAGTAGGATGAGATTTCAAAGTGTAACAGGAAATAAGTTTACAAACTTCTTCTGTTCTGAAGTTACATTTAAAGCTTTCTCCGACAATGGTAATTCTACATTTCTTTTAAAAAATATATCACTCAGCTCAGTGGAGAATATAATTTCAAGTCTTCATGATATAACGATTTTCAACATAAAACAGATTAAAAGCACAACGAAGTGTTAACTTCTGTGTTTTTTAGTAAACGAATAATAATATCCGGTAAATATGTCGTGAATGAAACACGTGTCTTAGAACACATTCGATACGGTACACGTGTCCACGAAAACATCCGATACGATACAAGTGTCCACGAAAACATCCGATACTATACACGTGTCCACGAAAACGTCCGATACGATACACGTGTCCACGAAAACGTCCGATACGATACACGTGTTCACGAATACAGCAGAGACGGTACACGTGTCCACGAAAACGTCCGATACGATACACGTGTACCCGAAAACATTCGATAGGATACACGTGTCCACGAATACAGCAGAGACGGTACACGTGTCCACGAAAACGTCCGTTACGATACACGTGTCCACGAAAACGTCCGATAGGATACACGTGTCCACGAATACAGCAGAGACGGTACACGTGTCCACGAAAACGTCCGTTACGATACACGTGTCCACGAAAACGTCCCATACGATACACGTGTCCACGAAAACGTCCGATACGGTACACGTGTCCACGAAAACGTCCGTTACGATACACGTGTACCCGAAAACATTCGATAGGATACACGTGTCCACGAAAACGTCCGATACGATACACGTGTTCACCAATACAGCAGAGACAGTAACCGTGTCCACGAAAACGTCCGATACGTTACACGTGTTCACGAAAACGTCCCATACGATACACGTGTCCACGAAAACGTCCGTTACGATACACGTGTCCACGAAAACGTCCCATACGATACACGTGTCCACGAAAACGTCCGATACGGTACACGTGTCCACGAAAACGTCCGATACGATACACGTGTCCACGAAAACGTCCGATACGATACACGTGTTCACGAAAACGTCCGATATGATACGTGTGAGTAAAAGAATAAGACCTTTTATTTTAAGATAAAACTGAAATACTTCCGTTCATAATACAAATTATCATTTTCAGACAAATTGCATTGTATTAGTTTGGAACAATTCGATTTTTTTAGTTGGTATATCGGTCTGTACAATTGATGTGTACTCTTCACAACGTCAAATCATATTATCTCGTTCGATTTGTAATTCCGCCAGACAAGTTTCCCCTGACAGGGGGATAACATTTGTATATATCTGCTAAAAATAGCAATATAAGGTTCGTGCACTCACTGTGGACAATTCGATATAAACGCCGACAGAATACCTGGAGACTTTGGAAAATCAAGTGACTCGTGATTCCTGATAGTTTTATTAAATAAGCACCGAACTACATTTCGAGGTTGCAATCAACTCTAATCTAAAAAGTATTTTTCGATTTGTTCCTTGCTGGTCTTTTCAGTGATAGTGTTCTGGGGCAATAAACTAGAGATAACTATTAGCAGACATCACTACCATGGAATGCCATTGGTACAATCCCTCGGAGAACGAGAGGATGTCACATGAATTACCAAGTGAGTGATGGAGATATCATTCTACGGAATGAGGGAAGGGAAGTCACATGGATTGCCAAGCATGTGACTAAAATATCATTCTACGGAGGGAGTATGTCACATTGATTGTCAAGCGGGTGAAGACGATATCACTCTGCAGAGGGAGTATGTCACATTGATTGTCAAGCGTGTGATGGAAATATCATACTGGGGAGGGGGGTAGGGGTGGGACATTAATTGCATAGCGTGTGATGAAAATATACTGCGGAGGGGGGGGGGTGTCACATTGATTGTCAAGCGTGTGATGGAAATGTTCTGAAGAGGGAGTATGCCACATTGATTGTCAAGTGTGTGAAGACGATATCACTCTGCGGAGGGAGTATGTCACATTGATTGTCAAGCGTGTGAAGACACTCTGCGGAGGGGTGTGTCACATTGATTGTCAAGTGTGTGAAGACGATATCACTCTGCGGAGGGAGTATGTCACATTGATTGTCAAGCGTGTGAAGACACTCTGCGGAGGGGTGTGTCACATTGATTGTCAAGCGTGTGATGGAAATGTACTGCGGAGGGAGTATGCCACATTGATTGTCAAGCGTGTGAAGATGATATCACTCTGCGGAGGGAGTATGTCACATTGATTGTCAAGCGTGTGAAGACACACTGCGGAGGGGTGTGTCACATTGATTGTCAAGCGTGTGATGGAAATGTACTGCGGAGGGAGTATGCCACATTGATTGTCAAGCGTGTGAAGACGATATCATTCTGTGGAGGGGTGTGTCACATTGATTGTCAAGCGTGTGAACACGATATCATTCTGTGGAGGGGGGTGTCACATTGATTGTCAAGCGTGTGAAGACGATATCACTCTGCGGATGGGGGTGTCACATTGATTGTCAAGCGTGTGATGGAAATGTACTGCGGAGGGAGTATGCCACATTGATTGTCAAGCGTGTGAAGACGATATCACTCTGCGGAGGGGGGTGTCACATTGATTGTCAAGCGTGTGAAGACGATATCATTCTGTGGAGGGGGGTGTCACATTGATTGTCAAGCGTGTGAAGACGATATCATTCTGTGGAGGGGGGTGTCACATTGATTGTCAAGCGTGTGAAGACGATATCACTCTGCGGATGGGGGTGTCACATTGATTGTCAACCGTGTGATGGAAATGTTCTACGGAGGGAGTATGCCACATTGACTGTCAAGCGTGTGAAGACGATATCACTCTGCGGAGGGGGGTGTCACATTGATTGTCAACCGTGTGATGGACATCCAGGTATTTTCAAAATGGTTGTGTTAGTATTCTATCGTGAACTAGACACCTAAATTATGGACAATTAGACGTATGTATTAGACTTTTTGACTTCAATATTTATCTCCGAGTCAAATCTGAGGGGAAAGGGAGGAAAGTTTATTTACATGTACACATACTCTCCATTACACATGTGCGCTTACAACAACAAAACACTGTTTCAATAACTTATATTGATCTAAATGACCCGACCCTTCTAACACCAATTATGTGGAATACAATCGTTACCAAGAAATGTCATGTTCTCAAAACGACTGCCGGGTAGACAAAATGAAGTCAGCTGACGACATCTATCGCGACATGTTGAGAGGAAATTCCAGAAGAACAAGTTCAGGAAGCAGGAAAGTTAATTTCTCTGAACTTCTAATTAATGGAGAAAATATTGATATCAACAGCGAAGTGGAAAGATTTCCCTGTTTTGGTAAATTGAGGTAATCAACTGATGAGAAAGGTAGTGTACTCTTAATTGGTATCTGATGGACATAGTCTATAACTTTTCCTATTTCTTTAAAGGCTTTATTTTGTTTGGTTTGGTTTTTTGTTTGTTTGTTTTCTTTTGGGTGGGGAGGGAGTGTGTGTGTGTGTGTGTGTGTGTTGGGGGGGGGGGGGGGGGGGGGGAAGGTGTCATTTTACGTCCTCGCAAAAACCAGTGTCAAAATAAAAGTGTGATTTAAAGGGATTACGTAATTTTTATG